GTAAAAAGCAGTTGAAACGAGCTCACCTCTGACACTCCTTCGTGCTTCAGAGCGAGATAATAACAGATCCAAGCAGGTGACATGATGTGGAAAAAAGGGGGAAAGCAGTCCTTCATCTTAGTAATGATAATGAACTAATGACATTAGCGTGTGACTGAGCCGCTCCTCGAACAACAACAAACACATGTTCGTCTGTAATGGCTGCCGTCTACTGGTGTCCTGAAAAAGTTTGTATCCGAGTAGGAAGTAATCTGCTTTTCCCCCACAAGATGGTCCAAATTTCATGTGGTCTCTGACTTTTGTGTTGGCGCCTCCTAGCTATGTGTAAAATGCCAGAATTCATATGATGCTGCTACAGCTGATATATATTTGTTGTCAAAATACCTTTTAGTACATATGTTGTTAAAATAAAATGAACAGTCCAATGATCATTTTACTGATATGTATAAAGACTGCAAAGGCTGAAAAATCTTGAAGTCTATATGAAATTGGCGGTAGTTTGAGGATTAAGTTTTTTATGCTTTTTTAGCTCAAAAAGGGGGCGGGGTCGTATTATACATGAATAAATATGGTAGTTATTAAATATAAATGGTTCTCCCTGCCCTTTCTGACTCTTTGTGCAGTCTGTATTTTTGGAAAACCCTTTTTCTCTCTCTTTGACAGGTGTTCTGTCTGCGATCGGAAATGGCTACGTGATTTTTATGACTGTCAAACGCAAGACCAAGCTGAAGCCTCCTGAGCTCATGACTGTCAATCTTGCCATTTTTGATTTTGGCATATCAGGTACTGTGATCCAGCCAAGGAGCAGAAAGATCAAAACAAAATTAAAACTGCAAAGCAGTGATAAAGGGCTGTCACACACTGGGAAAATCTATGTTCATACGTCCAACTTAACCAGTCTGTCAGTTCAGTTTTGTTAGGCACAGCCAAATAGACCAGTTATGCACCTGAAGAAATTTATTAGTTATTTAGAAACTGATTTTAAAAACACCACACCATATTCATAGTTTTCCTTTTTTAAGTATTGATTCTTATAATCTATTGTTTGACTATTTTTATGTCTTGATTAAAATAGGTTTAGATACATGCCTGAAACATCATCACAACACATAGAAAAACCGTTAATCAAACATGAGGACAGGATGTCTGTACTGTATGAGTGTCTGCGATTCAGCCGTAGGCCTGTAGTGGGCGTACCAGGCACCGAAGAACCATGACCGGGACTTCCGGTTTTCCAGCAGCATTGGTTTCATGCTTGCCTTGAGAGCATTAAATCACCATTCACTCCAGTCACTGGTGTTGTATGGTCCTTCTCTTCATATGTTAATCTGTTCAACATTCATGTGGTTTCATCACGATTTCAGTTAACGAACACTAAAATTTTCTTACACACCAAACAGGACACATTCAGTTTCGCTATCCTGTCCCAGCCATGCCCTTTGGCAACTGCAAATCCTGAATATCTTTACCCAAAGGGTCTAACCTTTTACACAGTTTGGAAAAAAATCTCCTATTCACACCTTTTATTCCACCAGCTTCCAAACACAAATAGGTATTTTTGCGCTGTCACTAGGCGGCACAATAGTGAATTTAAGACACTAGCATGGCCATGTTCAGGACTGTATGCCCATGTACAGTATGTACATGTTTTCAACATTTGCCAATGATGTTGCCCCAAAGCCATGTTTGATGTTAAAATGAGCAGGCCAAAAATAATAATTATAATTAATCTCACACCAACACCAATAAGATTAACCAACAGCCATTGATATATTTTGTTCACTAGGTTGTGAGAAAACTTTGGCCCAAATCTTAAGTCAATATTTCTCTAAATATTAGACACACAAACATTTGGTGTGACAAGTGAAAATAGCCATTTTCTTCAAAATAGCCAACTTTCTGTAGGTTTTACAATAGGATTCAGGAGCCTTTTTTGTAGGTCATGAAAAGATGCACGGCTGCACCAAATTTTACAGATGTCTCAGATAGGTATAGTACCGAATTCAATACTTTTTAAAGTACCGACCGAATTCCGCCGGTACTACCGAGTACCTATTCATGTAACATAAAACGGTGCCATGTTTCGGTACCTAAACACATCATTGCGACCATATTTGCCTAATTGGCCTATTGGGAGATTTTCCATGCTGGTCCTGAATGCAGGATTGTGCAAGAGCGTAATGACGTCAGCAGGTGCTGATTCAGTAACAGAGTTCAGTCTGAACATAGCATGAAGGCCTCGCAGCTCCTGGAGTAAAACTCACCAAACAGACCGCCTCTGAATTATCTGATGGATTAGTTATCTTGTGAACACGATGTTCGCTTGCTCAAAGTAAATAAAGTACCGCCACTTTCTTTGTTTCCTCCACCATTAAACAGAGAACGGCAGAGGAAAACAACAGAGGTGCTTCCTGACAGTCCGAACACGTCTGACCTAAAGAGCACAAACAGCCAACTTCAAGTGTTGGGCGTGTTCTGGATGCTCAAAACGTAGCTTGAACACCTTTTATTTATTTTAACTCATTCCTCTTTTGTTTATTTGATTTAAACTTATTTGCCTTCCATGGACCTCCATCACACAGTTTTTGTAGCGGGGAAATGACATCAATAGAAACATGTGGAGCTGGATTTTAATGTGTGAAATAAGACAAAACAGTCTTGTTGTTTTCAAGAGTTTTCACTTTAAAGAAATAAGTTACACAATGATGTTACAATACAAAGAGTTGGATGTTGTCTTGATATTTGTTAATCTTATATATTGAGAAATATGTTAAATTAAAAAAAGTTGATTATTAAAAAAACACACACACAAAGTACTGAAAATTGGTACCGTTAAGTACCGATACCAATTCCCAGGTACCAGATATTGGTTCCGAATCGATTCAAATTTTAAAGGTACCCATCTCTAGTGTCAGAGGAGCCAAATTAAGGTGAACTTAGAGAGCCAATTTGCAACCAGCACATCTGGGGCCTCATGTACAAAGACTTGTGTGGATTACTGAAATGTGGCATACCGTCAAATCAAGAAAATACATCTTGATACTTCTGGATTCAGTTGTGCATACGCCAGAATCAACAAACATTTCTTTTGTACATCCCAATCAATGGGGAACTGAGCACATGTGAGATTCCACCCCGACACACCTTCATTTACATGTGTTAAATAGATGATGAACATATTTGCGTGATTCCTGCGTGATCATAAAAGATTTCTAAATTCAGGAAAATTAATTAACTAAAGGTACTTTAGTGGTCATCAATGCATGTTCCCATACAATGACAAAATTTGTGCTCTGCATTTGACCCATCACACGAGACACCCAGGTGGAGCAGTGGGCAGCTATGTGGGAGCCCAGGGAGCAGTTGGGGGTTGGGTGTCTTGCTCAAGGGCACCAAGACATGTGGGTATGGCGGGAAATTGAACCTGTGACTTTTGGGTCCCAAACCGGCTGCTCTACTACTACACCACAGCCGCCCTATACAGTATGTGTTCTTTAACCCTTGTACTATGTTGAGAAAAAAATACATTTATTATGTTACGGGTCATTTTGACCCGTGTTGTGTAAATTCACTCAAAACAGTCAAAAATGAAATTAAACAAAAAAAAACTTTATTTTAGAGTGTTTAGGTCTTCCTTGCATCTTCAGAACCTCACTGGGAAGTTCTGGCTTATTTTTTCTGACTGTTCCCAACAGCTTTCTCTACTGAAGTTCATCTTCAAGACAGTAGGATGTAAAGAAGTTGTCACTTGTGATGTTGTGACCTTGCAGTCCTTCAGTCATCTCCAATACCACATGCACACCCAGATTTTCCTCAGGTGCTCCTCCAGGTGGCTTCCAGTTTATACTTGCAGGTTCCACACATAACTGGATTTTGCATCACAGACTGCCCAAAATTTTTGTGCCATATTTTGCAATCTTGTTTGGGGCATATACTTTCGGAATGGACAGCATCTTCTCAATGGAATGAGGCACTCATCGACAGTACATGGGGGCCAGGATTATACAATAAAAGTAGGATTTCAACACATTTATCCCAGACATTTCTGATTGCTCCAAGTTTGTCTTTCTCTTGTTGACAAGTCAAGTCAGTTGGATCCAGTGGCTTCCATTTTTCTTGAAAGATACTCCTCCCCTCCAAATTAATCATGTCAAGGATTATCTTCTATGGGTTGGGATATGAAGAACTGAATGCCAATTCAATATCATCAACTCCTGTGACAGCAAATCTTGTCGGATCAAGAGTCATTTTGATGACATTAGAAGATGACAATCTGCCCCAGCTTTGGTGTGGTGATGTTGACCATTATATTTTACCATCTTTGGATGTCCATGTCCCCTCTGTGGATGACAATTTTTGTGTTTCTTGGTTTTCATCTGATGAAGTCACACCGGCAAACTCATCCCCTGAATCCTCCTCATCATGGAAAAACTGATAACCTGGATCATCAATAGCATTGTTCTCTGGCTCTGAAGGATCCTCCATCTCTGAAATATTTTTATCTACATCACTATCCAAGTTCATAAGCTGCGATACAGCTTCTTCAAATGTAAATCGTCTGGTGCTCATTTTTGATGCATTTCTCAAAGAAAGGACACAGTGACAAGGACAGGGGAAATAAAGTCCCTCCTCCACACACACCTGGTTCTGAATGGCTATTCAAAGGCAATCAAAATAAAGTATTTCAAACGGATATGTTTATTTTGAATTTAACCAGCAATTTTGAGTTTGGGTCAAAATGACCCGCAACATCATCTTTGTGAACAAACTCTGTGCAGACACTCCATGAATTATCAAAGTGTTCAGATACACAGCAGTTTATGACCCTAGATGGGGAAAAGTCATGAAATTTCATGTCAAAAAAGTAAGGATAACCTGCCTTTTGGTCAACACAAAAATTGAAATGGGTCAAATTGACCCGAAACATAATACAAGGGTTTAAGTAGCAGAGAGTGATCAAAGTGAAGAGGAGCAGCTGAGCTGGCTTCTCCTTTTTTTTTTGAAAGAAGTTACAGGTTTTGAACAATGGTGGACCACTATATGTATTCCAAGAAGTTTCTTGGGGTTCCAAGAGCACACAGAGGATTCTGAGAACATGTAAGAGTTTGTTGGAGTGTCACATGGACTGAGGATGGAGCAGAGTTATCATTGTGTGACAAATAATGGTCCCACAAGGACCCATGGTTCAACTTAGCTTAAAAGAACTGGAGCAGTTTAGTTGTGTTAATCAGCAGCTGAGCTACGCAGGTGCCAGAGGAACCAGTACTGCCCCAGGGAACAGAAGTTAGTGGAAAGTTAGTGGAAAATGGTGAGAACAGAACAGCATGGTGATAACCAGGAATCCTGACAGCCTTGGCATGATTTCTGAATTGAAGGAGTTGGTAAGGGGGATTAGAACGAGCTCGCCCGTGGGGTACCCTTGGACTGTGAAGCAAGGTTGTAACAGAGCCGAAACGGTAAACATGTAAGAACTTTGACTTTGTGAGGATGTGTGTTTTATTGTGTTGTGTCATACCTCCCTCTTGTGTTCCCTCGTTGTCATTATGCCTCTTTTTCCCTCAGTTGTTTTACCTGTCATTTCCTCTTCTGTCACACACACACCTGTCAGTAGTTTCTAATCAGTATTTTCATCAGCTGTTGTTCATCTCCTCATTCCCTCTGTTTGTATTTATTCTGGTTCAGTTCTCCACACCCTCGCTGGTTCATTGTTTGGTTATTACCTCCTGTTATGGTCTCCTTGTTGTTCCCCTGTGCCTAGTGATGGGTCGATGAGGCATCAGGTG